AACGCTCAAAACACTGATTTTTCTGAGGAAGATAAGTTTTGAAAAAAGTGTGTGTAGCCGCCAACGCAAGGGAGATTTCCACTGCCCGTTATCTCAATCGAACTGACAACCTCAGGTTTAGGAGGTTGTTTTTCGGGAAATAATTTTAAAAAACTCAAAAAACGGTCAAAAAAGTAAAAAACAACTGGACCATTCCGAGTAAAAAAAAAGTTGGACGTAGCGGGAAGCTTTTCAAGTCCGTTCTATTAAATTAAATTAAAATTTCAGATTTGCTCGCTTAGTTTTTGAAAAAACAAAAAAAAATCAAATTTATTGAACAAACATTCCCCAAACAGATTTCGAAGGCTGTAGACTTATGTGTAAAGCAAAAAGAGACTAGCGGAGTAAACAAGCACACAAAAATGTAGGGGGTCTTTCTATAGATGTACCTTTTTGTAAATCGATTAAAAAATTTTGAGAAAGTTTTTTTTGAAAAAGGGATAAAATTTTTCAAATCATCTCAAAAAATAAAAAAAAAAAACCCAGTCCCATACACTTTCATAATACCTGTTTTTATCAAATAGCAACTCTAGGCAAACATACCTAGCAAGACACTTGAAATTTTAGTAAGTCATTGAATAAAGCTTACGAAGCGTAAACAAGACCGACAATCTTCGAGCAGACACCAGTTGAGCCGAAAAAAAAACTGATTTGTGTAGAACTTTTATAAATTTCAATTCCTCGTGAAACTACCCAAAAATAACTATTCATTACGTAATTGTTACCACTATGCCAGGTTTGCAGGAGATTGAGCTTGACAGCACGTGAGTGGAGAGAGTGCACGTGAATGAAGTCAAGTGATTCAAGTGATTTTAACTAGTTGCTAACCCAAAAAAAGTCAAAATTCTAGTTTGATAACGCTTGCTAATCGCAAACGTAAATAAAGTGTGGTCAATTGAAAAATGAATTTAAAACTCAAATTCAATCTAAAAGCAATTATTTTTATGGAAAAATCTTTTTCAAGGGGCGAATCTGATCACAAATTTGTTTCTCAATGATAGTTTAGATAAAATGCTCTTTTCTGGGCTGTCTCTAAACAACAAACAGAAAAAAGAAAAATAATTGAAGTTACCAAAAATTCACAGAAGTGAAGAAAAAATTTTTTCCGCAGACCAATACATCAAAATACTTTCAATTACAAATAGTTAAAAATTAAATTGTTGAAACTTGATGTGCGAACCTAGCCGACAAAAATAGGCATATTAGCATTAGACCCACAATTAAAACCTTCAAGTAGAAAATTATCAGCTTTTAGTCTTCACAGGCATGAACTTTAACTAGACGCTGAGCGAGAAAAAGAAGTAGCAGGAGCTTCAAATGCTAATTAACTAAATTGATGAAATATTTTAGCAAACTTTTTTAAGAGAAAAAAGGTTGGTACCCGATTTATACTCACTTGCTCTCGCAGGTGTGTTAACTTTTATACGCTTTCTTATTTCAAAAACACAAATACTTTCTGAATGAAAATTAATCTCTGAATGAAAATTAAGCAGTCGTAAACCAGACAATTTAGCTAATGGGTGGTTAAAAAGTGTTGAAGTACAAAGAGACTGGAAAAAAAGTTGATAGAACTAACTTCAACATTTTCCATCTTTCGAAGAAAAAGTAAATCACGTTTAAGTTCTTTGGAATTTAAGAACTGTTCATGATTCGCCTTTTCGTCTTAAAATTAACCCATTTCTGAGCGGAAAAATATTTTTTATTTCACGAGGGAATTCAGAAAATGACAGTCACTTTATGAAATGATTTCGTTTTTGTTTTTCGTCGACTTCAAACTATTGCTGCACGATACGGGAGTTTGTCTTTTTTGGAAATGAACATAACTTCGAAGTCAACATCAAATCTCCGAAAAATCAAATCAGAACGAGAGTTTCTACATAAATGTGTTGAATATGTCCAAAGCAAAGCCGAGCTTAGCAACAATTTCGATGCCATCCGTCATTGAGCTAGCAGAGAGAAACTGAGACAGAAACCTTCAAGTCGAAAAAAAATATATTTTTTTTTAATCGAAAATGAAATGAAATCTAAAAAAACTTGACTCAAGCAGCACATAAGCCACAACCAGCAGCAAATAAGCCGGGCGACATCAAGCTAAAACTGCGCAGACGCCAGCTTCAGATATAAAACTTTGAAATTTAAAATTTTTCGCCCAATCCATCTTAATAAATGATTTGAAATGAGGTAAGCAAGTCGATAAAACACGAACCGAACCTGTTACAAAAACATTTAATCAACAAAATCAGAGTTGATAGCCTTACAAATTAAAGAACAAATTTCAATTATTGTTAAATTAGCGTAAATCATAAAATATATATATGCTTTGAAAAAACTCCAGGCTTTGGAAAGTAAGCCAACAAAAAATAAATTGAGGCATTGTAGTCCGACAATTCAAGTTTTCTCAAAGAATCATTTTTCCCAATATATGGAAGAAAAGCAAAGTCCGTCCGTGGCTCGAAACAAAAACATTACGTCCCGAAGCCATGCGCTTTACGTCAAGACCAAAAGAGAAGGGGACTGAAAAAAATTGAGGTTCCATAAAAATCAATGTCAAAGTCTTACAGATGTGTACGAACTTTTGTTTTCGAGGAAAAAATCTAGTTCCCGACTACAAGTACACTTGCTCTCCATAGTGAACACATTATTTTCCAAAACTTTAATACAAAGCTACCAAAATGAACAAAAATATGAACACTGAATAACATAAGACTTAAACTTAATTGCAAAAAAATAGATTAAGTTATCGCCTTATTCCTATGTTCAAAAACAAATCACGTAAACCCTTTGGATTTCAAGAATTGTTTATGATTGTCATTTTCGTCTTAAAATTATCCCATTAAGAGAAAACTGAATCAAGATATATTTTTTAATCCGCAGGGAAATCAGAAAATGAAAATCAATTTGTGAAACGACATCATTCTTGTTTTTTTTACACATTCAAACTTTTGCTGTTCTATAGTGGAGCTTGGCTTTTCTGGAGAAGTTCCGAACTTCAAAGTCAAAATCGCAAGAAATCAGATCAAAGCGGAAGTTTTTACACGAGGTGTTTAAAATGTGCAAAAAATCGAATGCAGAAGCAAAGCCGAGCTTAGTAGCAATTTCGATACAACCTAAACAGAGCCAGCAGAGAGAAATAAAGATTTTAAGTCGATTTTTTAAATCGAAACAATTATATCTTCCAATACTTAAACATTTGTCTCGAATGATACTCATATTGAGAAAAACTTGCCAAAATATACAATCATTTGAGCAGCATATAAGCCAAAAGCCGAGAAGCAAACTAGTCGAGCGGCATTAAGCCAAAAAGCATACTGTGCAGAAGCCAGCTGAGTCTAAAACAATATGTTCATCAAACGTTTTAGGCTATAAAATTTTGATATTTGAAGATTTACGCCCCAATCTGCGCCTAAAACCCAGCGAAGCATAACAACTTATTTTTGCATTTCAAAGTTGCAAATGAGGCAACAAAGTCGATATAACAAGAGCCGAACCAATTTAAGCGGATAATAAAATTAACAAAAATACAGAGTTGGTAGCCTTACAAATTATAGAACGAGTTTGAATTTTAGTTAAATTAGCGCAAATCAGAAGAAAAAACTCAACGCATTGGAAAGTAAGCCAGCAACAAATCAGACAAATGATAACCAGAAATCTCAAGTTATCCTTAAAATATCAAGTTCTACATATCGAAGAAAACCAATAAAATCAGCCGAGAGTCCACTTGGTACTCCGAAGATACGTGCTTCAACTCTAGAGCAAGTGAGAAAGGGCTTGAAGATGATGAGGTCACATAATATATCAAGATCAATTTCATACAGATATGTAAGAAAGTTATTAACGGTAAAGCGTAGTTACCGATTACAAGACACTTACTCTCGCGAGTGAAAAAAAATGGGAAAGTTGTCAACATTTCAAGTGATAGACGTTATATTTACCAAAAAAAAACACATCTCTTTGTATTGCAACACTAGGAAAGCCTGAAAATAACGAGATGCATAGTTCACCTGATAAAACAAAAACCAGCTACACGTAGAAAGAACAAGCGTTGACAGATTCCCAAATGAAAAATGCTCTACAAAAAAGTCAACATTCGTAAGCATTCAAACCCCAGAAGAATAGCGCATGTTACCAACTGAGTCTTCAAGTCCTCATTCAGCTAACTTGTTCCAATATAAACATCTAGTTCCTAGAGCTCACTTGCGCGAAAGCATCTAAATGCAAATAACCAAAAGTCATGTTCCTCCGAAGATTATCGCTGCGACACAAAACAAACCGGGTTGTAGTATAACGCTGCAGTCAGCTGAAGTAATGAAGTTTTTGAAGTTTTGTACCCTAATTTAAAAACAAAAAACGTGTTTTTTAATGATTAAAAGAGAAAGCTTTTAAATTTTTCCTGAAATTTGAGTTTATTATTTGATTCGATTATGAGAGAAAATATAGTTTCGACCAGTTTATTTATTTAAAAACGTATTGGTCATCCTTCTTATGGATTCGGCACCGTAATCACCCAAAGGGTTCCCTCTTTGGAACTATTTCATGATATCTACTTTTGGTAGACCAATTTTTCTACAATACCATTTTTGAGTGGTGCGCGCGTCAAGAACGCTGTTTTTGGCCAAAAAGCCAAAACACTTTGAGTTGGGCTCGCGCCAAAAATCCATTTTTTTACCGAGAAAACCATACTACCTTAGAGCCATACAAACCTTCAGAAAATAACCTTAAAATGCCATTGTGGCCTGTTTTTAAAAATTTTGTCTGCGGCACACCAAATTTTGTCTAAATAGGGTCTTCATAATTCTCTGGGAGAGCTCGGGAAGTCAATTAATCAATTTTGAAGGCCAAAAAAAGTGGACTTAAGTTTTTGAAAATCTGCTTTTGGCTTGTCGTCTATCAAGACGGAACTAACAGATAAAACTAGGTTCAGAGAAACAATTAATTATTGAATTAATCGATAAAAGCTATTTTTACAGACATTGTACAAAAATATTTTACACTTTAAACGTACAAAAACATTTATACACTTTTTACATTTTGAAAATGGGTCACTGATATTCATTTACGAATTTCACTTTACCTGATATGATGCATAGTTTGAAATGTTGACATTTACATTAATAGGTATGCTTTCAAAGAAACCAGGAAATTAAACGCAGAATTGAAAATTAAAGCTTTCTTCAGTTCTCAACTAAACATCGAACTCATTACTGTCCTCCGGTGGTGCCGGCAGAGAAGGCGGCGGCATTTGAGGTCGATCTCCGACTTTCTGTGGTGATGCCACTGGCATTTGCGGGATAAATTTGGGCGGATGATTTATGAAGTTAGCGTGGTTCCGGGTAAAGCCACCTTCGCGTCCATAGCCAGACCTCTGCGAACTTCGCACACTTCCTGCCACAGAGACAGGAGCTCGCAACTTGTTTTCAGGCAGTCGTTGTGAATTGTGACTTGAGATACTTCCCACTCCAGTAGATTGCGACCTCATGGTTCCCGCGTGATTCATCTGGTTCGTTGCACTTTCCGGAGGGGGTGGCAATGGAGGAAGCTCATCGTCTTTCGAAAGTTCTTTAACCAGCATCCACGACGAGATGGCTCCTACCATCTCGCAGATGGTACAAATACCCAAAACAATAACAATAACGCCGATAAACGCCCATATAAGATCATCCACTGTTCTTCGACAGCCTTCCGTGTAATACAGAGAACTGTCTGTCATTTTCTGACAAGCAGGTTCGACAGGCTTGGTGCTTGCATAAGCTCGGCAGCAACTCCGTGGAATCTTCTGTTCTTTGTTGCCTTCCTCGTAGAACGGGGTAAATTTCCAGTCACTCGGGCCATCTGCACCACAGCATTCTCGAGACTTCTGGAAAAAATCCCAAACATCAGTAGTCATTTGGAACTCCTCCGTCCCATATTTTCGCATTAAGGCGTAAATTTGATCATTCACGTCTTCCTGTGCTCGAAACTCCATGACGAAGGCAACGATGATGCAGATCGCATTGAGTACAAAAGCGATAACCATCAAGGCAATGGAAAATTTCAGGAGATTGAGCTCCTCCTAGCAACAAAACAATGTATGTTAATGCTCATTAATGCTAAAATTTGAAAGCCGGAAGTTGATCTTAATCTTGTTGAAAATCATGTTTTTAGTACAAATCGTTTATGTGAAAACTTATTAAAATCTGATTTTTGATAAACTAAGCAACCAAAAGACGGAAGTTTAAAGAATCCTTCATGATACTTCATAAATGGGTGCATATACAAGACAGTCCCATGCAAAAGAGTCCAAAACATCAAAAGAAAGTTCTAAGAAACAGTCCCATACAAAAGAGTCCAATCCAAAACCATTTGATTTTTTTTACCTGAATCTTTTGGCGCCAGCAGAATTCATTTACGCTTTGAAAAATCAAACATGAGCGTTATTACAGATCAAAGAACCAAAGATCGAACAGTAAGTCAGATCAAACTCAAAGACCTCATGGTATACTGGTTAAGGCGTTAGACTCAAACTCTAGAGATCAAAGGATCGATTCCCCGGCCGCACAATTTGGGTAAATTTATAATGGGTATATCTAGGGTACAACAAAGTGTTCAACCTTTAGGGTTGGGCGGGGGAAAAAGAAAATCAACAGCTTGTATGTACCCATTATTTTGCCGGTTTCAAATCGACATTAACTCAATTTTGAACAATAAAGGAAAATAAATGAACTTGAAAAACTTTTTATTGCTTGGCAATGTGGAATAAATGCAAAAACTGAAAACAAAAAACTTCTGATTATAATTGAATATTACATCAATATCCTTTCAAAGGATATCGTTGGGCTGATATGACCTAATCATAGTGGTTAAATTTTTGTCGAGTTTTTGGTGTTAAACCTTTTTGGGCCCGGCTACATTTTGTCCTGCTCACATTTTTTCGAACAGTATTTCCGCATTTTTTTGTTCGTCCTTGAACTTCTCAATCAGTTTTGGAAATGAAGGGTCCTTACTCTTGACCACTTTCACAAAATTACTGCTCCAATCTTCTACAGCATTGTTGGTGCAGGGAATATAGTTTTTTTTTAAACTCTTTGATGTCAACTCCATTGCTTCATGTGAATTCTGGGATACTGTCGTCATTGAGAAGTCAGCCTGACAATACGTCTTCGAAATAGTTGAATATTGGTTGACTTTTTTCAGATGCCATACCTTGAAGAATCTCGAACGCAGTGGGGACGTCCTCTATGGACAGAAAGGTTGTTGCGAGAAGCATTCGATTAAGTTCGCGAAAATTAAGGTCATTGTTGTAATTCTGAGTATTGCCTGACGACTGAACATGTCGCCAGACGCTTTGATTTATATGGAAAATACAAAACTGAATTTGAGCGTTCTGATGGGTAGCTATTATTGAGTTTCGCACAGCTAGTTCAAAATCAATTGTAACGCGTTTTGGGGATTTAACTTTTAGAATACTGAGAAGGCGACAATAAGTTGAGTCCTTTTTTTCGGGTAGCAGAGGGTTAAAAAATGGAATAAGGCATCCTTCAACTGAAACGTGTATTGTATAAATCTGGTAGAATATATTGGGAGCAGTCGAAAACGTTCCCTCACAGAACCAATCATCTGATAAAGATAGTAGGTCTAACTCGGGTAACGTAGCGAACACAATCACCCGATTTTCATCATGGGGACCAGAATTGTGCAGAAGGGACTGCTCTCCTTCGTGAGTTTCCTACAGAGCCAGTGGTAATTCAAAGCCAGTCAGCGAAGTGGGCTCTGCCATCTTTGGTCTTTTATTCGCGTCAAACTCTATTTACAGCTTGCCGATGAGCAGAATATTTTGGTAAATGAACAGCTGTTTCTCGGTTCACATCACGTTGAGCTGCGAAAAAAGTCTGCCGTGGGGTTACATCAGACACTGCTGCTCGATCCCTTAGTGTTTTTCTGAACTTATGTTTCTCGATGTCAGCTGGATCGGGGAAGTGGCAGTGATCTTTAACGATCTCAACGGAGTCCTCTTTTGTACGCACACGTTCATTGCAACTATTTTGTGCGCAGCGCCAGGAAAGGGAGTTGTCTGACCTTGCTCGGTGTGTAACATAAGCATGCCCCTCAAAAATCATTCACTCAAAAATTTTGTTAGTAAGTACGATTTGCAACTATAGTTAGTGAATTTCGTTTCTATTGAGTGTTGCTAAGTGATCGCAAATGAAACAACTTGAACAACCTGTCTCTTTCTACATGGATTAAATAAAGAGTCCGCTTTTTTAATTGCTTTAACTTTTATGTTTTGCATATTATTGCTTTTAATGAGTGGCCGCTGCCGTTATCTAGGTTGATCTAATTTCTCTACTATACTACCTATTATTCTCCGGATTAGTTGGAATCAAAATAAGTTCAATCCGAGAGAAATTTTCTTATGAATTTCTGGAATAATTTTCACTTCGATCAATGGGACTGTTTTGTATGGGGCTCTGTTTTTTTTTGTATTTTGCTATGATTTTTCGGACTATTACGTAAAGGACTGTTTTGTATTGAACTATTTTGCATAGACACGCATAAAAGACATATTTTGAATTATAACTCTAAAAGATTATGCGTACTGTGAAAACCATTCAGTAAATAATCTTCCAAAAAGTTTTGAAAAAAAAAGTTTCAAACTACACCAGAAGCATATATCACGTTCTCCAAACGTTTGTTCAATTAGCAAAAATACAATAATTTATTTGGTGAAACTTTTTAGCAGTTCCTCTTGAAAATCTAAGTTCTTTGTCATTAAGCAAATAAGACTTGCGTAAACACATTTTTGGGTAATATCAGTAGCGATTTTTTATGTAAGAAATGCGGACTGTTGTCAGGAACGTTGCAACACAGACAACAAAGGAAAACTACACACTAGTATCAACCAACGGCTTCCTTCCTAATTCCAGCATGAACGATTTAACTGTTGCTGCTCTGCTTAGCCTGCCCCACACTATGGCTGGTCGCCATCAAGCTTCCATCATGTAACCAAAAACATCTCCTTTCAAGCGAGTTTCATCTAACCTGTCCGTGCTCTCGCTGGTGTTCATACGGCTTCCTTCGTGTTTCGACTAAATATAACTCTTAGCTCTCAGAAACTCACTTCCTGATCTGATCAGATTGTGAAAGAGAAGGGAAAGCTTCTCGAGGCGGTTTCTTTGAGATTTATGCAACTACTCTCATCTACTCTCGAAATAGAGACACCGTTTGCATACTTGAGCATTCCACTCCAAGAGAAACTTGGCCGTTGAGACGAAGATATTCATCGGGCATGACGGCATAGCGCGTTCGTGCGCTGGGCAAATTAACCAGATCGCTCGTAAAATTGGCAGTGGTTACCCTTACTGAGAAACACTAAACACTAACCAATCTGAAGGGTTGATAGCCATCAGTTGGTCTCAACCTGGATGTGAACCGCACTTTTCTACTCACAAGCAATTAAAAAGTAGGAAACCTATAAGACAATTCATGACGGAATTGTTTCAAACAATTAAAATATTATACAATTGTACCACATCATTACAGGGAGGTCAAAGAACGAATGAAAAAAAAAACATTTGAATTTAATTGACTTACCCGAATACTAGCAGCCAAATTTGCACCAGCAGCGAGAAAAACCAGGACTGACAGTGCAATCGCTAGCTTGCAAACGATTTCCACTTTGTTAATTCTGATGTACCACTCAATAAAATTCGGATAAGTAAGGAAGGTTATCGAAGTGACAAATAAGGCCACACCCAAAAAACCGCATATGAAGGCCATAAAATTTGTCAAAAGCCGGGCATTTTTATAATTAACAGCCATTCTTCTCTAAAATGTATTACTCTTTTCAAAAAAAAAATTGAAAAAAAAAAACATTCTTTTAGTTTTTGGTTCTGTGCCATTCGACCACAAGGCAGTTTGTTTTTATTCGAGAAAAGAAAAACTGTAACATTCGTCTACTACAGTCACACATTGGGCTTAAGAAAAATAGGCCCTATAACTATTGGCTCAGGAGTCAGGGACACTATCTCTTGTGTTTTTCCACCTCAAATCAGTCGGAGCCAATTCGGTTCGCTTGTGACATGAGACTACGACCCGCTACTGCTTAAGGCTACTACCAAAATATCCCCCCACTCTAGAATTAAGAACGTCCCCATACTTAGGTCTCAAAATACCCAAAATACATGAACGCCGTTAAAAACCGGGTTGGAACAATCCGTTAAGTTGCTTTTTTATTAGACAGTGGAACTTTGATCCATTTCAGATGGATCAACCTAAAACTCGCCTTACCTCAACATAACAATCATAAAACACACTCTAGAAATTAAATTAAGTACTCACATTGTAGCACGCTCAAGAACCAGGAAGTAAATAAGTCGGTAAACAACTCAAGAATCAACAAAGTAACTAAAATAAGTTTAATGTCAGTCAGTTTTAACAACAAGAACAAGTTTTTACTCTAGACTGCAGTTTTATGTGGACCATTGGGACACTCAAGCTGTCCACCTTTCCGTCGAAGGTTCACTCTGGTCCAGTTCGAATAATTGTTCTCTCGGGAATACTCTGTCTTCTATTTCAGATAGGACAGCTCTACTCTTGTTCACTATGATGGAAATTGCGAATTGCAATTTCACACTCGTTTTTATCTGACAACTTTCCCGCAATTGTTCTAAAATTGTTCTCTTTTCTTTTTCTGATTTTCAGTTATCGCGAGAAAATCGTGCATGACATGTTCCATTCGAAATTTTGAAAAATTAAATTTCACTACAAAATCAAGTGTTTTCTGCTCTTCTCAAGGTCAAACTTCCAAATATGACCGACTGGCACATACTCCCCGGACTCGAGATCGATGTCCTCATCGCGTGCTGTCTTCTGCCAGTGAGTCCCAGAAAACCGAGTGTTGCTCAAGATACAGTGCCAGTGGTCATTTACAGAAGTTTGCAGCAGACTTAAGCTTATCTACACCCCAAAATTCACAGCCATGTAAAATTTTCACACTATTGCTAAACAGCAATCAAAATCTGCACACACCTGCACCCTTGAATTTTCGCTTTTCAAGCCAATCATTTTAAAATCTCTTTTGTCCTATTCAATCAGGAAATTGTCATGCAGCATTTCGATTTATATAATAGATATAGTATATTAGTAACAATATTTGCTTTGTTAAAATTTCTTTTTCGTGAATCCAAGTTTCACTCGGATTCACACTCAAGCCCCCTTTCCCTCTCAAGACTCAAGATCCATCCGATTTGCCCATTCATCTCGTACTCTTCGCCTTGGAGGTACTGCATCCTGAAGTGCTAGATGCGGCAAACTGTCTCAACAGTTCCTCTTCATCATCGGAACTAATCACAATCTCCTCCCAAGCCTTCAGCTGTTCATAAGATCGCATCCATTCTCTCTGCTCCTGCAATCTCTTTGCTTGGTTGGGTAGTGCCTTCACCCTAGCTTCTCGGTTCAAGCAAAAGGAGTTGTGCAGGCTCAAGCTCACGTTCTTCGCCAGGTCTTCCTCTAGTATCGACTCCCTCGCTTTGGTATTGTCTCTAGACATCTTCCCCACTCTTTTCCATCCCGTCGTGATCGCATTACGATGGGTTAGCAGGTATCTCTTGAAAGCTTCCGGCCCAATCTCGGCCTGGAACTGTCGATACTCTTTTTGATGTTTTCTCATGTGATCTTTCGTTGTCATGTACAACCAAGACGTCAGTGTCGCCCGAAACCATGGAAAGTACCTCAAGCGACTCCATACGTGCCTGACTTCCGTCGGTATGGCGAATACTTTGCACGCAGTCTCAAACAACTCGAGTCTCCTGCTGTAGTCTATCGCGTATATTGACTCAGCCGTTGGCTTCGTCGCCTCCCGATACTTCGTTATATTCTCTTCTATCCATCTCAGAGCTAACATCGTACTCACTACTAAGAGCGTCACCTTCTGCCGGTGATCCGGTAGTCCGATCGACCGAATCTCTTCCACATCCCACACCAGGCAAAGGTTCTTGTGATCTGGATACCACACCGTTTGTGCCAAACAGTGGCATGGGCATTCCCCATGAGAGATCTCAATGCTCCTGAGATTACGCTCCCCTGAGGCTTCCAAGAGAGGCTCAAGCTCCATCATTTTCTCGTGCATCGTGTCGTTGTCTTCCAGGTTCGGAGTACTTCCCACAGGTTTCCCGATCACGTTTTGTCTCTCGTGATCGCTTGTGTTTTCTCTTTCCAACTTCAGAAGATCTTCTCCCCGGATTTCGCTTAAGTCATCTCTCAATTCTTTTGGTACTGTCCCTTTGATTTTTCTCAACAACTTGTGCGAGTGATGCGACATCCGAGCCAACCTCACGCACTTGGGCACTGAGAAGGCCTTGTCCACCAGTATTCTCTGGCTGGACACTTCCACCATCGCCATGTGTAGCGGGTAGTGACTTCCGCACAAGTTGGCCATCATTGACCCTATCAGCGATTTCGCGTTCAATGGCAAGCCATAAGCTTCGCTCAGGGGAAATCCCATTTCCGCCTCAAGACCAACTTTCCAGCTCCGGATGTGTTTTTGAGTCACCTGCAACACCCCGGGCCATGATTCTACGCTCAACGCCGTCACTAAATGATGTTCAGACTCCAGTCTCTCCAGTGCCTGCAGACCACACATTCTCGAGAAGAATCCGAGAGCTGTCGCTATATTCACCGTGGTTCTCGCGTAACATTCCGCTATTATTTGCACTTCACTTTTCTCCCTTTCTGTGATGTCTTCGAACCAAGTGACCAGGTCTTCTTTTTGAAACGACAGTATTCTGACGCATGACCGTCCATCGCAGATGTGCTCTCCGTTCCCACACGTCGAATCCAGACAGCTACCCGGCTCCAATTTCTTTGCTGACCCGGGGTCGCTCGTCCTTTCGCTTGGCTCTTGCATCTGGGGTGTGATTAGCTTATGTAGCACACTCAACTTCGCCAGATCTTCATCTTCCGTTGGTGCTAACCTCACTCGCTCGGTGGTTTCCTCGATTAGACTCGCATGGGGATGTGGACACCAGGAGGGTCTTAGTAGCTTCCATATCACTCCCAAGTTCGTGGTTAACAAGCCATCTCCACCGCCCATGTTCACTTCAACTCTCTTGTTTGAGCGCGGTATGCTTATCACCTCTGGTGTTTTCTCAAGAATCAGGCCCAGGCTCGGCCCCTCTTTCTCCACCGCGTCTATCTCCATTATCCTTTCTGTCCAAAACTTCAGTAGCTCCGCTACCTCATGGTTTCTGTGGGCTCCTCCAGCTTCCGAGTCTAAGAAGGGATTGTAGGCTATTCCCATCACTCCAGACACATATTGGTATTCCCCCTTCTCACTGAGTCTCGAGTACTGTTCTGACGATGCCAGGTTACGGTGAACATCATGTTCTTCCTCGAACTTCTTATTAGAGAACCTCCGTACCTCGTCCAGCTTTCGATGGTTCTCTAAGGATAGTCTGGAACCATCTTCTTTCTCTATTCCTGTACTCTGATATACGTTCAAGATGATCGTTGAGACTCTTCTCTCCATGGTTTTACTTCCACTTGCTCTCTGGTGGCATGCCAGGATGGTGCTATCAGACATCATTGACATTGTCCATCTCAAGAAACATGTGGCATCTTTTCTCCTAGCCAGGCTCAAGCCTGAATTGTCCCTGGCCACGTGTTGCATCAGTGCCTGATACACCTCTAGCTTCTTGCTTCCCAACTTCAGCCTGTCATACGAGGTCAGTGTCTCCAACTCTATTCCCACCAGACTCCAGGTGAACATTAATTGTCCCGCAGTTCTAACGAAGGGATTCGCCATTAGTGGCGGTGCTGATGAGGATGTTCTCATCGCCTCTTCAAAATGATCCTTCAACAAACTCTGCCAGGACCTCTTCAGATGACTTGCCATCTCTATCTTATTAACCTCGGCTTTTTGCTGGGTGGCCCAATTGCGTCGCCTGCGAGCTATTCCACTGTCCAACTTCTTCAAGCAGTCCTCCATTTCCTTCAATGTTTCGAGGGCCACCCACCACGTCCGGGAAGTGTTCCTCGTCTTGTTCCTCTCCAATGGATCACTCGTCACTTGTTTGCCCATGTCCTGATGTGCCTTCGAGATCCATTCTTTGCCGATCTCCACTTCCCCTACCTGTCCGTTCGTTGAACCTCTCTTCACGTTTACCTTCTGAGGCTTGAAGTCTTCTTCTGACGTAGAACTGGTGGAAACCTCTATTTCCTTTTCTACTTCAAGTGGTTTCCTGAGCTCCGAGCTGTTCTTGTATGCCGCCGTCTTGCATCGGGCCAAAACGATGGGCGCCGTCTCTCTCAAGTTTCCTTCCGAAACAGCATCCACTGAAGGACTACCCCATCCTTCCACTTCTCTCTTCCTCTTGCGAGTCTTCACATCTCTGCTCGAGGGTGTTGTGGCTATCATCATTGATTCGACCTCTCCATCCACTCCTTCCAACTCTTGCCTCCCCCCTGCTCGAGCCTTAAGGATATTAGTACTTTTAATCATATTACTAGTCCCAACCTTATCCCTTTTTATATCATCAACCATTTTATCCACAGTTTTTTGTTTCAGAGTAGAGCTGTCCTCACATTTCTCTTTTCTAGTCTTCGATCGTGCGTTCCTCAGCTCCACTAGCTTGTTCAGCAGCTCTTTTCTTGCTTTCTCATCCAGGCCCGTTCCTATCAGGAGCGGTTCCCCGAATCTCACTACTGCGTCCCACAGTTCCTTCTTGAACTTGTCCAGCGTCGTCTCGCTGCCCACTTCTCGATTGAATTCCTCCAGGAACTCCTGCCAAGCGTCATCCTCGAGAGATCCCAAGAATATGTCCCTG